CCCACCGTCGAGGCCGGGCCGCCGCACAGTCGCGACTTCGAGAGAGGCGTCCGGCACGCGCGGCGCCTTCGACAGGGCCATGCGCGTGGCGAGGGCCATGGCGGGCACGGCGGTCGACGTGTTTGCGACGCCGGGGCTCGTGCGGGAGGTCAGGGAGCAGTGGCGGCGCGACATGAGGGAGGCGGCGGCGGCGGATCTTGTCTGAATCGGGGGCGAGGGGGCAGTGCTGCCTGCCGCGCGACGGAGCGTTGCAATGGCTGGCAGCGTGCGTCGTTGCGTTACCTCGACGGAGGGGGTCCCCCGGGTGGTCAAGGTGGGAGAGCAACGTTCTGGCGTAATCTGGATAAAGGGAGGGAGTGGTTTAGGCTGCTGCGTCTACAAGTTACGTCGGTGTCACGGTGCCAGCTGCGCTGACGACGAGGTCTATCTCGCAGGCCGTGATGAGTTTCGACGATTGTGACCTGTCGTATGTCATTGGTGATCGACGATTTGCAGCTTCCAGCAGGTTCTGACCAGATGTGGTCTAAAGCCTTGTCCTGAATCCGTCAACTCCCTTTCCTGATGCCAAGGGATGTAGCTTAGAAGGCTCTCGCTCAGAGTACGGTCATTTCATTCTTTGCAGCTGACCCTCCAGTGATGACCTGCCGTCAAAGATGTTCCTCCCCTCTCAGGACATAGCAGGAAAGGCTGCTGAGGCAAAGGTCATGGGTCTTGGGCCCGTTTTCTCCAAGTGATATCGAAGCGTCTGCGCGAGCATATGACAGCTGGATAATTCAGCCAGAGTCTCCAAGCCTGCCTTCGTACACCCGACCGATAGTGTTGAACAGACCGTGACAGCTCGAATCTGCCTAGCAATACGCCTTCTTGAGTACCCAGGCTTTCGGTGCATGAGAGACACCATGTCGAACACAGCTCATTCATACAGACCCTTCGTCTGCATCGTATCACGGGCACGATATCTATCAATAAGCAGAACGAAGGCTGCTTACGCAGGTGACTTCTGCCTCACACGAAGCCCTCGGCATTGGACCATTACTCTCATCACCCTCATGAGGACAAACAAACCAGGGGATCTCTGAACCAAAGAGCCAAAGCCAATCACACACTCTCGGACACCGAGTGCCGTCCGGTTGCGTATCATGATGGATCGAGGGCCCCATCCACACCCTCCGAGTAAAGGTGGCGGGTTGGATCCAATCAAGCGGGAGAACCGTCAGCCTCCGAAATGCCCATTGGACCGACGTGAAGCCCATGTAATCATCTCGGTCGCCTGAAAAAGAACTAGTCACGACCAACAGCGTTCTCGGTCTGCACAGAAGATGGGCGAGACAAGACAAGGCTGAATCAGCCCTTGTCGGATGGGAGCATTTAGTCCGAGGCATCCGCCTTCCAACGCATATCCCGTGCATCTCGCCTCTAACAAACAGAAAGCGTCACAACCATGGCCGAGGCGTTCGCCATTCTCGGCGTCGTAGGCGTTGGCCTACAGATTGCCAAAGAATTCGTCAGGCTCAGCGACTCCTTCAGCGCCCTAAGCCACGCCTCGGAAGATTGCCAGTATTTCGCCACGAGCTCCAAGAACATGAGTGCCGTCATCACCTCCTTGTTTACGGCCGCTCGTCTGTCCCTCGAACTGATCGAAACGGATCAGCGATCCGAGCGGGAGGCGACTCTCGACGGACTGATCAAAGAGTTCGGCCAGGTTCAGCTGCGTCTTCGCGACCTGGTGATAGACACCGGGATAGATGAGCAGCACGTCGGCAGCAATGACAGCTATTTTGTCCGGTTGGGGTTTAGCTGGCGCTGGTATCGTAAAAAGGCTGCAGTGGCAATGTCCCGGATGATGCAGGAGACGACGAAATCCACGGCCAACCTCTTCATCAGCACAATGCTGTGTGAGGATTTCATGAGGCAGATCCGAGTTCTGCAGGACAAGACAACAGACTCGAAAGAGTTGCGATCTTTGAAAGAGCAGGTGTGAGTGAGCATTGTGGAGCGCAGGTTGCTTGAATCGACAGCTGATTGTCGTCGTCAGAAAGTTCCTGTCAGAGCAGATTGTCGACCAGAGACGCGACGTGCGTTTCGCGACGAAACAGATCGAGAGTTTCGAAAGGTCCACCCAGAGGTCATACAGCCTGACGAGATTGCTTCGCTTCGGGACGTGGAAAAGGCCGTCGTGGTCAGCACCTTGAAAATTGTCCCTTCACAAGCGACGAAGCCAAGCCCCGAGACACCGCGAAACGAGCACGCGGCTGCCTCCCGAAAGTGTATGCGTACAACGACCCATCTAAACAGTCGGCAGGACTTGGTTCCTCCTCCCCCTCGAACACGTCGCGCCGATTCGGGTCCGCAACCCCCACCTCCTCGAACGGCGCCCGGCACGCCAGGTCTTCAGGCACTCATCGTCGGCCACCCCAGCCCGCGGCCGAGCACGACTGCTAGAACTCCAATTATCACGACCACAGACTTCTCAACACCTACCGTACGGTACGTTGATATACCTGAATCACTAGTATCCGACCGGTTTACCGGTTCCCGGGTCCGAGATGATGGGCGAAACCTTCGTGAGGAGACTGGAGAATGGCCCCCGGAAGTATTCTCTGGTCCAGACGAAGGAAGAGATGCGGACTCAAGGGGAGTTACTCGAATATATGAGGAAAAAAGAGCGTCGGCAGCGGAAGGCAGTGTGCAGGAGAGAAAGGCGACGAAGAAAAGTCTTGGATCTCAGTCGTCTTCAAAAATTGGGTCACCACCAGCTCGAAGTGTGGTCGAGGAAGAGGGGTCCAAGCTGGCCGATGACGATCCACGACCTTCTCCTTTGGGCAGAATGCAGCCGATGCCCCCATTCGATGAAGATGATCTGCGAGGGGTCAGAAGACGAATGACTAAACGAAAGTCTGGAGAAGAGGGGGGGAAATCGCCGAAGTCTTAAGGACTCGATGCAGATGCTGATCTTGTGTGGACAGCATCATGCTAGGAAAATACACATCGTGATTGGTCTTCTAGTCATGAAGCCAGAAGTCGTAGATTCAGGCGAAGACACGCTTCCCAAAATTCATATGGTACTTCACCAGTTCTGTGCAAAGGCTGCGAAGCCTCGTTGGAAAGTACTCCTGGAATCAAATGGCGCATGTTTCGCGAAACACAACCAATCGTGCGGCGAAAAACATCTATTCACCCCCTCTAAGCATTGAACAGAGCTCATCCAAACTATCTTTTCCCATTCGGAACGCAACTCTTACTGAGTGGCGTTCTTGTTCACCGAAGGCTCATCTGGCGCCTGGGTCATGGCGGATGGCCGGCGCGACTGCAGCATGGAACCCCTGCGCTGCTCAATATCCGCGGCGCTAAAGTACTTGGCCAGCTCATTATCAAGCTCGGTTGCGGTGTATCGGGGCATCGTCTTGGCCATCTTGACGGGAGAGACGCCCTCTGACCAGGCACGGGCGAAGTAGAGGTCAATCTCCTCGAGAGAGCGCTTAGAGGTCTGTGTTGGGTCAGCAATGTATCCATGCTGTGCTACCTCCCAGAAACCAAGAAGTAAGCTTACCTCGGGGAAGTATAGATAGACGCAAGGGATGAGAGCCGCGTTGAACACGGCAAACATAACGTAGGTCTTCCATTGGAGGTTGGCGAACGCCGGCGGGGTGATCATGACGATGAGGAAGTTGGAGATCCAGTTGCTGCACGTCGAGAGGGCGTTGGCCTGGATACGAATGTTGAGCCCCGTCACCTCAGCTGGGTACAGCCACGTCATGCCAAGCCATCCAACGGCGAAAAACGAGTTGAATGCAAAGAGGAAGACCACAGCCGTGACGCCGTATGCGGTCGAAAGCTGGGGCGCGCCGTCCTCGTTGGTCGTGCCCGTCGAGGTCGTGCCGGCAAGAATGGCCATGGATCCCATCATGCCGAAGGCTCCAAAAAGCATGAGCTTGCGGCGTCCAACGCGCTCGATGAGGGGCAGGGCGACGAGGGAGGCGAGGAAGTACTCGGTGCCGTTCAGAGCGGCCAAGAGACGGGAGAGCTGGGGTCCGAACCCAAGTGAGTTCTCAAAGACGAAAGTAGCGTAGTAAGTGATGAGTGTGATGCCGCAAATCTGCTGGAAGAATTGCGCGGCGATGCCGAGGAGAGTACGGCGCAGTTTTTGAGAGGGTCTATTCGTCAGGAGGCGTTTGAAGCGACCACCTGTGTGCTCAACATTGAGAGCAGCAGCAATTTGTGTGATCTCTTTCGTCAATTTCGGGAGAGTCTTCGGGGCGATCGAGGAGACGACCGATGATCTCGCGGCTTCAGCGATACGACCCTTCATCAAGAGCCAACGAGGCGAGTCGGGCAGATAGAGCAGTCCAATCATGACGA